AACTGGGGGGAGGAGGGGGAAGTGTAGGAAGCGGGTTTCTGAGATATACCCTTTGGGTGGTTGAGGATGCATGGAGGGGACTGGAACCATGGCAGTGAGATGATATACGATGGAATGAATGTAAAACTAAAGTTCTCCCATGTAAACTATCATATAATTCACAATAAAACATTAAAAAAAAATTAGAGGCTGGGTCAAAGAAGAGATGGTGGAAATGGATAACTTTAGAGAGTAATTGGGGGAGGGCAGGTCATGGAGGGTCTTGTAAGCCACTGTAGTTGGTTTGAACCATAAGGTCAGTGGTTCAAACTCACCAGCTGCTCCTCGGAAACCCTACACAAGGTCACTGAGTTGGAACCGACTCGATGGCAATTAACAACAAGGCTACTGTAAAGACTCCAGCTTTGACTCTGAGTGAAATGAGGAGCTAGTATATTATCACAGAGCTGTCATACGACTAGACTTGCTTTACAACAGCTGCTCTATGCTACTGACTACTGGGAACCAAGTTACAAACAAGGATGCTACTGCAGTTACCTAGGTGAGAGATCATGTGCATAGCATGAAGGGGTTAAAAAGTAGAAGAAGTAGTTGTTGTTAAGCGCCATAGTCAGTTCCAACTCACAGTGACCCTGAATAAGGTTTCCAAGGAGCAGCTGGTGACCTTGAACTGCTGACCTTGTGGTTCAAATCAGACTTGTGGTCTGGTGCTTTATTTCACAGCGCCACACCAGGACTCCTTTAAAGGTAGAAGCAATAGCATTTCTGGAGTCCTGGTGTGATGTTGTGGGCTAATGCACTGGACTGCAAGGCAGGTCTGAATTGCAAGGTTGGCTGTTCAAGCTCATCAGCTGCTCTTTGGAAACTCTATACAAGGTCAATATGAGTTGGAACAACTTGATGGCACTTAACAACAACAACAACAACAATAATATTTGTTGATTATATGATTGCGGGGTATCAAAGAAAGAGGCAACAAGACTAGAAGGTGTTTTGGTTTGAACAACTAAAAGAATGGAGTTACCTGTAACAGATGCGAGAGGCTGTGGTAGAACCGATTTGGAATTTATGTGTGGGGTGGTGGCGAGGTGGGTGGGTAGAGGCAGGGAGATTAGGAGGCTTGGTTTGGGATATGGCGATTTATTATCCAAGTGAAGATGATGAGATGGCAGATGGATCTAGAGTCTGGCTCAAGACAAGGTCTGGGTCACATACGTGTATTTGAATTCTCAGCATACAGATGAATTTTAAAGCTATGGGGATGGATGACCCAGTCAGGGGGAGTGAAGGTAGGTGATAGAGAAAACACTGTCCAGAAATATAATGGCACTGGAATGGGCTAGAGACTGTGCATCACTAAAATGCTTTAGTACAATCAGAGAATCTAAAAGAGGAGAAGCATGGAAACCAGTAAGTAATAAGATGGTGTTGTTAAGTGCTGTCAAGTCAGTTCTGACTCACAGCGACACTACAGGGTTTCTGAGGAACACGTGGTAGGTATGAACTGCCCACCTTGCATTTAGCAGTGACTTCAAAGTAATAAAATAGTTGCATAAATTAATGCAACACAATTCTAACTTGAGGCAAAGAATGATCCAAACTCAAAGAAAAGCAATTCCTGAACTTAAGAAATTTAGAGGAGCAGCTAATTTACTTTTTCTTATTACACACACAGCATTATCTTAGTAATGACCTGTGTCTGGCAATTGTTAGCCTGTTGTAATAAAGACAGGTCCTAGGTGACTTTCAAATGGGACAGCCAGAAATTAGTTATCAAAATCTTTAACAACAATATTATGTTTCAAATAGTTTCTGGAACTTCTAATCTGATAAACATAACCAATCACTGGGTGGCGATAAAGGTTGAGCACTTCATTGCCAAACTGAAGCTTGGAGATTTGAGATCATGCAGAGGTGCCTCAAAAGAACAGTCTGGCGTTCTACTTCCAAAGGTCCCAGCCACTGGAGATCCTATGCGCGGTTCTTCTGATACACATGGGTCGCCTGAGTCATAGTCCACTTGACAGACAACAAGAGTTTTGAATACCCCCCATGCCCTAGCAGGTTAGCAGTAGAGCTGAAAGTTCTGCCTCAAATCATGTATTCACTAGCTCCTTAGCAATTATTAAGTCCATGTGTCTTAGTTTTATTCAGAACAGTAAACTTGTTGATTAAGAACAGAACGCATGGCTTCTTCTTACCTAAAGAAGCAATGGCAAACATTCGATAGAAATCCCACTCTTTAGCATATCTGATCAGGTCATCAGGATCGGTGTTCTGGCTTGAATCCTGAAGCTGCCACCACCTCAGGTAGGCCTCACAAAGCAAACAAAATATGCAGAGTTTTCCATGGATCTGATAAGCAAAAAGATGTTGCCATTCAATTGGAAAGAAAAGTTTACTTATGTTTGTGCCTGTAAATATGAAATAGAATTAAATATTTATAATTTTGAAGAATGTCCCATGTTGTAGTTTTCAAATTCACAACTGTAAAATCAAGTGCCTAATTGCATTCATTCTGTAAATCAGTGGTTCTTAATCAGCAATGTCCCTCAGAATCACAGTTCTAACAATACAAATGCCTAGGCTCCAGCCCCAATTCAGGCCCCAGTTCAGAATCTTTGGCATTAGGACCTAGACATGCATGTTTGGGAACAATGCCAACGGGATTCTAATGTACACTCTAATTAAGAACTACTGCTTTAAATAACAGTTCATTTATGTTTTTGAAGTCAATTTTATACACAGAATCAAGCACAGGATTTATGTGACTCATATATAGGTGAAAGGAGAAATAAGAATAGATTTAATCTGAAGACTTCATGGTCCTTCGCAAGAAGGTGGTCTGACCTAAATCGGGTTGGTTGGTTGGTTATGTGCCGTGGAGTCGGTTCCGACTCATAGTGACCCTGTACAGGGTCCCCGAGGCTGTAAATCTTTACGGGAGCAGAACGCCTCATCTTTCTCCCGTGGAACAGCTGGTAGTTTCGAACTGCTGACCTTGCAGTTCGTAGCCCAATTCATAACCACTACACTACCAGAGCTCCTAAATCGGGAAGAAGTAAAAAATGCCCCTGGAATGAGTATAAATCCAGAAACTGATGGTTCCAACTTATGATGAGGTTCCATTCCAATGACTGTCGCTATGTCGGGTCTGATGTTAACATACCTTTTATTTTTCTTAAGTTTTCTCTATTATTGCCATTTATTATAAATAGCTTTATACATCTGATCTTTATTTGTCGGCATCAGTATTATAAACAATAAAGTAGGTCTAGCATCTGTCGGGCACATGTGCAGTTCAGTTTTCGTATGTTGTTAAGAGTTGAACATTGCCCAACTTTCTATCCATTACCAACTCCCAACAGCAACACAGACGTCATTGATGATCACGCCAGAGGCTGCTATATGCCTGTTTTGATGAGTAAATCCTAACACTGAAAATGTGCAAGTGAATATCTGAGAATGGTAATGTTGTTGTTGTTAAGTGCGGTCAGTCGGTTCTGACCCCTAGTGACCCCAAGGAGCGGCTGGTGAGCTTGAACTGCCGACCTTGCAGTTCAAACGACTTTGTAGTCTGGCACATTAACCCACAGCTCCACACCAGGACTCTGAGAATGATATTGATAATCAGCAAATTACGAACTGCAACATTTTGTTCAGTGCATATTTTCAACAACACCACGTACAAAAGAAAAAAAAGGGATGGTCATAAACATAGTTCGCTATAACTTGAGTATGTTGTAAATCGGGGACAAACTATATTGAAAAAGAGCAATTATTAAGTTGTAAGTTATTGAGTCTGAACTTCTGGCTAAATTTAAAAAATACTAGGGGAAAAAGAATACCCGTTTTTTTCCCTAAATATTTCACCTGGGCACTAAACTTTCTGCCAGCATAAAGTGGGGGATGGAAGCAGTTGTATAAATCTGATACAGCCCCTGCCCGCCCTCCCCCCCAGGTCCCCCACGTGATTCTAAGGTGGAGCAACACTGGAGAATCAGAGCCCTTATCATTTTAACACTGCTCTAGTTATTTAAGGAGCTTTGGTAGCATAGTGGTCAGAACTGACTCCAAGGCACATCACCTGGTTATTTAAATGGGGAAGAGATACAGTAAGTTAGCCATGGTAGTCCAAATTTAGGGTTGGCAGATTTAACAAAAATACAAGACACTCACTTAAATCTGAATTTCACATAAAGAACAAATTAATTTTTTTCATATAAGCATATTCCATGCAATATTTAGGATATATTTACACTAAAAACTTATTTGCTGTTTATCTAATTTTCAAATTGAAATAAATGTTCTATTTTTTATTTGTTAAACCTACCCACATTATTAGGAACCCAGGTGGCATAGTGGGTTACAGGCTGGGCTACTAACCACAAGGTCAGCAGTTCAAGCCCACCAACCACTCCTTGGGAAAAAGATAAGGCTTTATGTTCCCATACAGATATACAGCCTGGGAAATCCCATACAGGGTCGCAACAGACTCGACAGCACACAACAACAAAAATAATTAAACTATATGCATTCAAACTTCAATACACTAAATGTATAATTTTTTTAAAATACGGCTTTACAAATGAGAACTTTTCTGATTAAACTCAATGTTGCTGTTTCTGTAGCACCTTCCCTTAATTGCAGAGTGTAAAATATAATAAATTGCATTTAAAAATATTTGTCATTTAATATTTGCTTACTTCTTTCAGGTACCATTCTTTCCTTACTTTGATATATTTAATTTTATTCTACTCAAAATAATTGGTGTCTGTTTCAAGAGGTACTCTACTTAAAGGTTAATACAAATGATACTTTGTCAGTTTCATGCCAGTCATCATATCCTTAAGTATTCACTAAACACTGAGTACCTTTTAAAAATCAACATCTGCTATTTCTAGAACCATCTAGATAGGCTGAGAAAAAAGGTATACTGTTAAGTTAGAATTTCTTTTTTAAAATAATACTCTAATTCTGCTCAAAATTATTATCCTCTTAAAATGGAAAAGCATTATCAAGTGAAATAAAAAACAGAAAAATGATTAAAACTTACATTTATTTTAGTATTGAAAAGAATATGCCTGTAGGCCTGGGCTTTGCATAAAATAGCATTAATTAAGATGATAACAGGATCATACTCGATATACTTGTCTACAGGTTTCTGGCAGGAGTTCTGAAATAATGCAAGATAATATTAGAACAAGCAAACTCAAACATTTTAAAATCTTAAAGGATTTGAAAACAGCAAAGTCTCTTTTGGACTTGTAAAGCACTATAGCCATATAATTAGCATTTATTTAAATACACATCCGTTCAGATACTATAGACTCATCTACATAAGTGGTTTTAAAATCACACATATAATCTTGAAGGCTGGAAATATGAATGCTTCCATCTCATGTTAAAGAAACTACAGAGAGAGTTTATTTTAAAAACTAATTTTAGGCAGGAAAGTTTTCCTAACAATTCGAATTTCAGTTTGTAGGGATTAAAATAAATAAATCTATAATGCATTTTTATCAATGAATTGTTTTCTCCTGACTAAATGGCACCCAACTTTGTGGTTCCTGAAACACAGTTTGGAGAAAAGTTTATACAAATGCACCCAGAGCTTCTGAAGATGAGCTCGCTACAAGTGGGTAAGGAATATTATACTTTAAGACCGTGCCAACAATCCTGGGATGGCAAATACTAAGGAAGCTGGTTTTCTTTCCACAAAAATTGAGAATACAGAGAAACAGGAGAATGCTGGGTTGGGTATAAGGAATTTGGTTGTACAGACTGGCTCTTGGTTATCAAAATAAAGGTCCCATGACTTGCAGCAGTTCCTGTTAAAAAGGCATTCCCCACACCCAAACCCCAAAACTAATTTAGAGCACAGTTCTGCAAAGGTTGTTGTTGTTGTCTTCGAGTCAGTTCCGACTCACAGCAACCCTGTATAGGGTTTCCTAGGAGTAGCAGCTGGTGGGTTTGAACTACCAACCAGTATAATGCTGATCCTACAGCGCCACAGCAGGTGCAGGCGAGTACAAACTCAACACCTATACAAAAACAAAGGAGCCCTGGTGGGGCAAATACTTGAGTTCAGCTGCTAACCAAAATAAAAAAAAGGTTGTGCATTGCACCCAACAGCTTTGATGACAAAGACCTGGCTATCTGCTTCCAGAGACTACAGTCAAGAAAACCCAGGGAGGCACTTAGATGTCACCTAGGGCCCCTATGACTTGAAATCAACTGGAGTGACACCTAACAACAACATACAAGAACAAGCTCATTACAAGTGTGGCATATGAAACAATAATAGTAGCAACAAGGCTACAACTCCCCAGAACAGAACTTGGAGGTTGCTACAATTCAAACCTAAAGCATTCTGAATACCCCTAGAACTAAAGGTCACAGGTGTGCAAACATACAGTCATGATCAAAGTGCTAAAAGAAGGAAGCGTATTGAAGAATATTAATCCTGTACTACATATGTAAAAAAAAAAAGAAAGAAAGAAAGATTTATTCCCAATGTTACAACACATAGTATGTTTTCTAGTCATAGCGTGACCTAGGAAGAGAGATACTCCATCACTTCAAAATAAAACGGACCCACGACTTGTCTGTCACTTTGCCATACTGTGGTGGCCTATATGCTAATGTGATGCTGGAAGCTATGCCACAAGTATTTTAAATGCCAACAGGGTCACCAATGGTGGACAAGTTTCAGATGAGTTTCCAGATGAGGACAGACTAGGAAGAAGGAGTGACGGACTAATTCTGAATGTTTAGCCACTGGAAAGCTTATGAATGGCAGTGCAACACTGTCAGATAGCACCTGAATACTGAATAATGAAAAACGAAGAAGAGCATCAGAATATTGTCAGATATAGTTCCGGAAGATGAATGCCTCAGGCTGGAAAGCACTCAGAAGATTACTGCGGAAGAGAAGCCTCCTCAAGGTAGTTTTGACTATTATGATGCGAACAGAACCTTCCTTTGCTGATGGGGCACAACTCAAAATGAAGAGACACAGCTATAAACATCCATTAATAATTGGAATATGGACTGTGTGAAGTATGAACCTAAGAAAATTGGAAATTGTCAAAAATGAAATGGAACACATAAACATTGATATCTAGGTATTAGCGAGCTGAAATGGACTGGTATTGGCCATTTTGAATCTGACAATCACATGGTTTGCTATGCTGGGAATGACAAATTGAAGAGGAATGTGTCGTATGCATCATCAAAAAGAACATATGAAGATGTCTTAAAGTACAACACTGTCTGTGATAGGATAATATCCGTTCATCTACAAGGAAGACCAGTTAATACAACTATTATTCAAATTTATGCACCAAACACTAAAGCCAGTGATGATGAAATAGAATAATTTTACCAATTTCTTCAGTTTGAAATTGATCAAACATGCAATCAAGATGTACTGATAATTACTGGTGATTGGAATGTAAAGACTGGAAACAAAGAGGAAGGATCAGTAGTTATAAAATATGGGCTTGGTGATAGAAATGATGCTGGAGATTGCATAATAGAATTCTGCAAGACCAATGACTTGTTGATTGCAAATACTTTTTTAAAATAACATAAAAGATGGACCCCACCAGATGAAATACACAGAAATCAAACTGACATCTGTGGAAAGACACAGTAAAAAAGCTCTATATCATCTGCCAAAACCAGGCCTGGAACAGATTATGGAATAGCTCATCAGTTGCTCATATGCAAATTCAAGCTGAAGCTGAAGGAAGTTAAAATATAACTCCTCGAAAGACAAAATACAACCTTGAATATATCCCACCTGAATTTTGAGATCATCTGATGAAAAGATTTGATGCATTAGACACTTAAGACCAAAGATCAGAAATGTTGTGGGATGACATCAAGAACATTTTACGGAAAAAAACAAAAGGTCATTAAGAAGAAAAGAAAGAAGGAAAAGACCAAAACGGATGTCAGAAGAGACACTGAAACTTGCTCTCTAGTGTAGAGATGCTAAAGCAAATAGAATAAACGAGGTAAAAGAACTGAACAGAAAAATTCAAAGGTCAGTTCAAGAAGACAAAGTCAAATATCATAATGAAATGTGCAAAGACCTGGAGTTAGAAAACCAAAAGGGAAGAACATGCGCAGCATTTCTCAAACTGAGGGAACTGAAGAAAGAAAGTCAAGCCCTGACTTACTATATAGAAGGATTCTATGGGCAAAACACTGAATGATGCAGAAGCATCAGAAGAATATGGAAGAAATATAGAGTCACTGTATCAAAAAGAAATGGCCCGTGTTCAACGATTTCAAGAGGTAGCATATGATCAAGAACCAGTGATACCGAAGGAGGAAGTTCAAAGTGCACTGAAAACACTGGCAAAGAATACGGCACCAGGAATTGATGAAATCGTTCAACAAACTGATGTGATGCAGGAGGCAATCACTCTATGCCACAAAATTTGGAAGACAACTACCTGGCCCACTAACAGAAAGGGGTCATATTTGTGCCCATTCCAAAGACAGGTGACCCAACGGAATGTGGATATCATTGGGCAATATCACTGATATCCCATGCAAGTAAAATTTTGATAAAGATAATTTTAAAAATGGCTGCAACCATACATTGACATAGACCTTCCAGAGGTTCAAGCCAGATTCAGAAGAGGATGTGGAACGAAGCATATCATTGCTGACATCAGATGGATCTTGGCTGAAAGCAGAGAATACCAAAAAGATGTTTACCTGTGCTTTACTGACTATGCAAAGGTTTTCAATTGTGTGAATCATAACAAGCTATGGACAACATTGCCAACTATGAGTATTCCGGAACACTTAATTGTGCTCATGAGGAAACTGCACAGGGACCAAGTAGCAGATGTCAGACAGAACAAGGGAACATCGAATGGTGTAAAATTAGGAAAAGTGTGTCAGGGTTGTATTCTTTCACCATACTTATTCAACCTGTATGCTGAGCAAATAATCTTAGCAGCTGGAATATATGAAGAAAAACATGACATATGATTGGATGACTCAATGAACAACCTACGATATGCAGGTGACGCAACCTTGCTTGCTGAAAGCAAACACAACTTAACACTTACCAATGAAGATCAAAGACCACAGCCTTCAGTATGAATTGCACCTCAGTGTAAAGAAAACAAAAACGCTCACCACTGGACCAATAAAAACACTATGATAAATGGAGAAAAGACTGAAGTTGTCAAAGACTTTATTTTGCTTGAATCCACTATCAACACACATGATGCAGCAGTCATGAAAGCAAATGACTATATCATTAGGCAAATCTGCTGCACAAGACCTCATTAAAGTGTTGAAGAAGAAAGATGTCAGTTTGAGGACTAAGGTGCACCTGATGCAAGCCATGGTATTTTCAGTACCCTCATATGCATGTGAAAGTTGGACAGTGAATAAGGAAGACTGTAGAACTGAGCCTTTGAGTTATGGTACTAGAGAAGAAGATTGAAAATATCACAGACTGCCAGAAGAACAAACAAATCTGTATCGGAAAAAGTACAGTCAGAATGATCCTTTGAAGCTGGTATGGCGAGACTTCGTCTCTCATACTTTTGATATTTTATCAGGAGGGGCCAATTTCCTGGAGGAAAACATCATGCTTGGTAAAGTGGAGGGTCAGTGAAAAAGAGGGGGACCTCCAAGATGGCTTGGCACAATGGCAGCCGCAATGGGCTCAAGTGTACCAGCTGAGAGGATGGCACAGGACCAGGCTATGTTCATAGGGTCACTATGCGTTGAAACCAACATGACAGTACCTAACAACAACAACTAAATGGATCAAAGCTTTTGAATAATGGTTTTGGTAAACAATATTGAAAGTACTATGGACTGCTAGAAGAAAAACCCCATCTGTCTTGGAGGAAGTACAGCCAGTATGTTCCTGAGATGTGAGGATAACAAGATTTATTTAATGTATTTTGGACACATTACTAGGAGGAACCAGTGCTTGGAAAAGAACATTATGCTTGAATGCCCCTTAGAGGCTAGGATGGTGAGACTTCGACTCTCATACTTAGGACATATTATCAGGAGGGGCCAGTCCCTGGAGAAAGACATCATGCTTGGTAATGTGGAGTGTCAGCTACAAAGTGGAAGACCCCCAATGAGATGGATGGCACAGTGGTAGCAGTCATGGGCTCAATTGTAACAACAATTGTGAGAACGGCTCAGGACCAGTGTTTGTTTCACTTTACTATATATAAGGAGTTATGAGTTGGAGGTTACACGATACCACAGTTACAACAATACAGTCTAATTATGAACTAAGTGCTATAGATGCACATGAACACAAGGTCTGTATACTTGTATAAGGTGAGACATAAACAGATGTAATAAATAAATTCCTCAATTTTACCAAGTACTGTAAAATATCAGTATGATCTGGTTTCTTGGTAATATTTCATTTCACCTTTTTTTTTTTTTTAAATGATTGAACTCTATAAAAGAGACATGAAGTAAATTTGCGTCTAAAGAATATACAATTAAAGGAAGTACACAGTAACATTTCTGAAGGCGTCTTATCCAAAAATTGCAGGAACACATGCCTGGAAGATATAGGTAATAAGGTGTGGAGTATGTAATGGTACATATTAAAATATTCCTCTCAGGACTTTATAAAAATAAATGAATTTTGCTAACAAACAGGACATTATGCTTGGTAAAGTAGAGGGTCAGCAAAAAGGGGAAGACCCTCAACAAGACAGACTGAAGCAGCGGCTGCAATAATGAGATAACAAAAGTTGTAAAGATAGTGTAGGGCCAGACAGTAGTTCATTCTTTGGTACACAGGGTGGCTATGAGTCAAAACAGTCTCGCTGGTACCTAACAACAACAACAACCAAACAGAGGCATAAAGAATTACTATTCTGAATATCTTTATCAGAGCAAAGACCAAGCCAGTGTCTAAACTGAAGCCACAGAATCAGAAATTCTATATTTATGATAGGAAGCTGTTTGAAAGAGCCTCTTGCTGTGCTACTGATATGGAGAACACTTGTTTTCTTTATACAGTCACGATTACATGATCTGAGATGCTACTTCATTTTTAATAAAACACAGACTAAGAAGTCAAGGGTCCTCACTATGTCCTTTCAAAGTTCTTTAAAATCTATCTTCAGACACCATCACAAGTCTGAGACTGCGGGTTGAGACCATTTTTAGAAGGAGATAAGGAGAAACAAGCACCTGCAGACAAAGTAGTTCAGTTATTCTATTTGCCCTCATTTATTTGACAAATACTTTTGGAGTGGCTATTACATTCAAAGCAGTAACTCTCTTTACATAGCTATTTCTATAGATCAGGCACTCCCAAAGTGCTAGATATCAACCTTGAAACTTAAGTCTCTATCTTACAGTCCTTGAGGGGAGGGGGCAAGAGATAAATAAACATGCTACTATAATATGGTCTGATAAGTGCTATGAAGGGACAATCACTAGGTCGCACAAGGCCAGTAGAAGAGGCAGTTTCTGGTGTTCTGTGATATACTTTCCCCATCTTGCCATCTAAGCATACTGACTATATTTTAAAAACACTGAGAAGTTATTAATGTCTGCTGGTTTCCTCTCCATCAGTTTAAATCTAATTTTTCCTTATTCAGTCTATTATTTACTCTTCCCTTAAGTGCTTCTTTACATGCTCTCCATTTTCTCTCCTTCTGCCTTTACTTTACCTTCAATGTCAGGAAGAAAACCACCAGAAAAGAAAAACCAAACAAATGTAGCACAACACCATCTTGTGAGATGTCTACTTTTAGTAACTGTGTTGTGTTCTGTTATGACTGTCCACAGAGGAGGAGTGTGAACGGGCTATGGAAATGTCATGTGATTACCAGATAGCATTACGGGAGTATTTGAGTCTAGAGGTCTTTCCCCCCAGTAATCTTGGAGTCCTGGTGTATGCCATTGGACAAGCACTCAACCTCAAGGTCGGTTTGAATCATAAGATCAGTGGTTTAAACTCACCAGCCACTCCTAGGAAACACTATACTGGTTTCCTATGAGTCGGAACCGATTCAATGGTACTTAACAACAACAATAACCATGTTAAGATGCACAGGGACAGACTAGGTTAGATTTAACTTGAGTGGAAATTTTGCCAAATGAGAGAACCCACTAAGAGAAGACCAGGAAATCGTGGGCGTCTGTGCCAGCGTTTATAGTGGTTGACCATGGAGTAGACACATATGCACTCAAATTCTATCAATTCCCTTGTAAAGTTTACTGTTGTTATTAAGTGCGTTGGTTCGATTCGTAGAACCTGTTATACGCTTTCCAAGAAGCAGCTGGTGAGTTTGAACTGCCAACTTTGCAATTCAAACCAACCTTGTGGTTGGGTGCTCACCCTACAGTGCCACACCAGGACTCCTTGTACTTTACTGGTGGTGATGATGGTAGTTATGTGCCGTGGAGTTGGTTCCGACTCCTAGCAACCCCTGTACAGGGTTTCCGAGGCTGTAAATCTTTAGAGGAGCAGAAAGCCTCATCTTTCTCCCGTGGAACCGCTGGTAGTTTCGAACTGCTTGCTGACCTTGAGGTTAGCAGCCAGAATCGTAATAATTTTCTAAGAAGAGTTACTACTATAACATCAAAAGATCAGAAATGGGACAAAAATTGATTATATACAGATTTTTTGCTAATGTCCCCAAAAGAACCTCCCATTTTGTGGACTGGCAAAACGTAAGATTAGAGGTCTGGTGTGGCTCTGTACGATAAGCACTTAACTGTCAACTGCAAGGTCAGCGGTTCAAACCCACCAGCCGCTCCTTGGGAACCTGATACGGGGTACCCATAGGTAGGAACCGGCCCGACAGCACTGATCAACAAAACATAAAACACAGCTTGAATGCATAACTTTTATTTCTTCTTTTCTGGTTTTTGTATCACCAGTGCCTTACAGAGCTCTGCTCACAACATATGTTTTATAGGTACAATGAGAGAAACTTTAAAAAACAAAAACAAAAAACGTATTCCAGGAGTATTGTGGGGAGTGAAGATGGGTAACATTTGTGTGGCAAAATACACTAGCAAAGAACGAAACAGCTTTGACAGGAGCCCAAATGTCACTTGAACCCGATCTGTAAAACGCTCTATTTCCCGCGCTTGCTCAGTGAGAACAACGCCGAGGCTGCGAGTTCGCGATCACTGTAGGAAAGCCTGCAAAGGCTCCACGGATCTCGGGCAAGGCTGTCAAGAATAGAACTGAAGACTGGAGATTTTTGTTGTCTTAAAAAGCGAATACAGATCCAATTGCCTCTCGCGGTACCCAAGTCCCGCCTGGCCATATTCTTCCCAAGGATACCCCAGACAACTCACGCAGATGGTTATCTTCAGCACACCGTGATTATAGTCTCGGTACAGCTCCTTCGCTTCCTCGTTGCATTCGATGCACCTGTACTGGTAGGAGGCCGAGGCGGCAGTAGGAGTCGCTGCCGCCCCCTCCGCGCTCCCTTTCCCTGGCCGCGGCCCGCTCCGCCCGCCGGTACCCATTTCCCTCAACTGCTCTAGAGACTTCCGACTCAGCGGCGTGGAAACGCAAGTGCGCGCGAGCGGAAGGCCTTCGCCGCGCGTTGCTTCCTGGGACGCGTAGTCCTACTACTGGAAAGGAGCGAGACTCTCACGGAGCTGTGCCTACAATTCCCAGAAGGCAACGCCGCCTCTCTGTTCCCGCCCCACCTTCCCACGGCTCACCTGCCCCACGACGGCTTGCAGGCGGGAGGCGGGAGTGCGGGAAGAGGGGCACATACACATGCGCCTTGAGGGAAGATGGCACCTGCCGGCTGCTGCTGCGGCTGGGGCTGGGGCGGCGCTGTGCCCGCCGCCGGCTCTGCCCAGCGCCTCCTGGTGCTGCTGCTGCTGTTGGGGGCCCTGCCTGCCGAGCTGCACCCGGGGGCTCTGGCCACCGAGTACTACTCTCCGCTGTCCCTACTCAAGCAGGAGCTGCAGCACCGGCAGCAGCAGGAGGCCCCTGCGGGCGGCGGCGGCGGCGGCTGCAACCCACAGTCCCGGGACTGGGGGGACCAATACTCGGCGGAGTGCGGCGGTGAGTGAGATCGGGCAGCCAGGGCCGGGCGTAGAGACCGGGGGCCGGCTGTGCTGGAGCGCGGTCTCCGGCGGGAGGCGACGAGCCGGGAGCCGAGCCGCGGGGGCTGTGCCGCAGCCGATTCCCGTCGCTCCCTCCACGCACGTCTCCACGGAGCCTCCTCTGGCTCTCTTTTCGGGAAAGGCGATGAATGGAAAAGACAGCGGACAGCGTGCTCCTGGAGCTCAGGTTCACCCTCCGGAGTCAGAGTCCGCCGCGGGCCCAGTGCCGTGGCAATGCGCCAGAGACTGGGCGGAACCGGGGTTTGGGCCCACAGGGTAGCTGCCTGGGCCATTTTCGGTCTGGAAACCGGGTTTCCTGACATTCTGGATTAATGTCTTGTTAAAACACACCCTCTAAGAACTGGATCTATGGAAGAAACAATGTAACAAAAGAGCAAGTCCATCTTACTTGCTGGTTGACAGCTCGCGTCCAGTTAAGATTGACCTGCAATCCCTCAGGTGTGTTGACCAAAGGAGGAAGAGAACCCTGCGGGCTGTCAGACCCCTAGTTATCGGAAGCCTGTGTGTATTAGAAACCTGTATATATCCGTCCTTAGGATATAGTGCATGGTTCCTCACAGTGTACCGAGACAAGATGCTACACAGGAGCAAAACATACCACATGTGTAAGTGTTTTGAAGTTGTGTAGTGGATCGTTCATCTTTAAAATAACCCTTCACTATCTTTTGGGCCTACCAATTCATTAGGAGTTGGTTGGTTGCTTTTATGGACAGACATCGATATTTATAATTTTGTACCTGTGGTGGCGCTATAGCAGCAGCACAGGACTGTGAACCACAGGGTCAGCAGTTCAAACACACCAGCTGCTCCTGGGAAACTCTATGCACAGGGTCGCTATGAGTCAAAACTGACTTGACAGTACTTAAAAACAACCTGGAGAAATTAGGTCGGCAATTCAAGCCCAACATTCGCTCCTTGGCATCTCATATAGGGTCGCTATGAGTCAGAGTTGACTTGACGGCACTCAACAACATCTAGAGAAATGACATGATGGAATTTCGCAAGACCAACGGTTTTTTGGAAAGAATTTTTAACGACTTAAAGGACAACCAAACTATAGCTTGGTTTGGGTGGAAAAAAACAATGGAAAAGCTCAAAATCTTCAGTCAGAATAAAGCTAGGAGTTGACTGTTGTTGTTAAGTGCCTTCGAGTTGATTTTGACCCTGAAGAGCAGCTGGTGAGCTTGAACTGCCTCCCTTGAGGTTCAAACTGATTTCGCAGCCCATGAATGCAGTGCATTAACCCACAGCACCACACCAGGACTCCAAAGGTTGACTGTAATTGAATTGCTCAATTGCTCATACACAAATTCAGTTTGAAGATAATAAAACAATTCCAGAGAACCGAAGTATGACTTTGAGTGTATCCCACCTGAATTTAGAAACCATCTCAAGAATATATTTTATGCATAGAATACTATTGATGAAAGACCAGATGAATTGTGGAATGACATCAAAGACATCTTACATGAAGAAAGAAAAAGGCCTTTAAAAAGGAAAAAAAAAGGAAGAGAGACCAAAATAATATCAGAGGAAACTCTGAAACTTGCTCTTGAAACACAGAGTAGCTAAAGTGAATGGGAGAAATGATGAAATAAGGAGCCAAACAGAAGACTTAAAAAGGTATCTCAAGAAAGCCAAGTGAACTTTTACAATGAAATGTGCAAAACCCTGGAGTTAGAAAACCAAAATAGGAGAACACAATCAGCATTTCTCATGCTGAAAGAACTGCAGAAAAATTCAAGTCTTCACCTGAAATTTTGAAGGATTCTCTAGGCAAGATATTAAACAATTACGAAAGCATCAAAAGAAGGTGGAAGGTACCAAGTCACTGTACTAATAAGAATTAGTTGATATTCAACCATGTCAGCAAGTACCATATGATCAAGAGTCAATGGCACTGAAGGAAAAGTATAACCTGCACTGAAGGCATTGCTGAAAAACCAGAATCTAGTAATTAATGGAATACCAGTTGAGATGTTTCAACATATAGATGCAATGCTGAAAGTGCTTACTGTATGCCAAGAAATTTGGAAGACAGCTATGTGGCCAACTGACTGGAAGAGACACATCTATGTGTCCATTTCAAAGAAGGTGATGCTATGTATGGGATGTGGAAATTATCAAGTAATATTATCTACCAAAAGTAAAATTTTGCTGAAGATAATTTAGAAATGGTTGCAGCTGTGTATCGCTAGGGAGCTTCCAGGAATTCAAGCCAGCTTCAGAAGTATCTTGACTGAAAGCCAAGCGTATCAGAAAGATGTTAACCTGTGTTCTATTGAGTATGCAAAGGTATTAAACTTTGTGGATCAAAACAAATTATGGATGGCATTCCAGAACATTCATTGTGCTCGTGAGGAACCCTTACACAGACCAAGAGGCAGTCATTAGAACAGAATAAGGGATAATGAATGGTTTAAAGTCAGGAAAGATATGTGTCAGGGTTGTGGCCTTTCATCATACTGATTCAATCTGTATGCTGAGCAAATAATCCAAGAAGTTGGATGGAGAAAGATTCATTAACCACCTGTGATAACGCAGATGACACAACCTTGCTTGCTGAAAGTACAGACTTGAAGCACGTACTAATTTAGGTCAAAGACAGTAGTCTTCAGTGTGGATTGCACCTCTACACAAGACAAAAATCCTCACAACATCATGATAAACAGAAAATATTGAACTTGTCAAGCGTTTCAGTTTACTTCAAACCACAATCAACACCCATAGAAGTGGCAGTCAAGAAATTAAACAACATTGCATTGGGCAGATCTGCTGAGAAAATTCTTTAAAGTGTTCAAAAGCAAAGATGTCACTTTGAGATCTAAGGTACACCTGACCCAACTATGGTAATTTCTATTGCCTCAAGCATGTGAAAGCTGGACAATGAAGAGGGAAGAAGAATTGATGTATTTGAGTGATGTTGGCATAGAGTATTGAATATACCTTGGACTTCCAAAAGAATGGAAAAAAAAAATCTGCCTTGGAAGAAGTACACTAGAATGTTCCTTAGAAGCAAGGATAGTGAGATTTTGCCTCATGGCAGAAGGGCATCATACTTGGTAAAGTTGAGGGTCAGTGAAATAAAGGAAGACCCTCAGTGAGTTGAATTGCCCTAGTAGCTGTAACAGTGGGCTTCAACAGCAAAGCCTGTGAGAGCCAGGCAGTGCTTGGTCTGTTGTACACCAGATTGCCATGAGTTGGAAATGACTCGATGCCACCTAACAACAACAACAACAACACACCTAGAGAGACAACTTGAGATGAGATGTCAAGATTTGTTGTTATTGTTATGTGCCATGGGTCTGTTCCGACTCATAGCGACCCTGTACAGGGCTTCTAAGGCTGTAAATCTTTATGGGAGCAGAAAGCCTCATCTTTCTCCCACAGAACAGCTGGTAGTTTCGAACTGCTGACCCTGAGGTTAGCAGCCTGATTCGTAACCACTACGCTACCAGAGCTCCTTGATGTCAAGAACGAGCTTTGTAACTTCTTTACATTGTAGTAGACCTTATCTTGCTGCTGTTAAGTGACATCGAGTGAGTTCTGAAGTGGCCAGCATTGAGTAATGGGAAAAGAATGGTGATCTGTTTCCCTTTCTCTTGACTCTGAGCAAATTAGTAACCTATCTTTGCATAAATTGCTTCCTCTAAATTGAAGACATTGTTACCTAACGTAGGCAATCACTGTACTGTAGTGGCTTGAATGGTGCTGTAATGCTGGAAGCTGTGCCACTGGAGGAGTTCTGGTGTGGTGTGTGGGATAATGCATTGGGCCACAAGGCATTTTGAAGCCTCAAGGGTGGCAGTTCAAACTCACCAGCCGACTCCTTGGGAACCCTATACAGGGTCACTATGAGTCGGAACCAACTCAATGGCACTTAATAACAGCGTGCCAGTGGTATTTCAAAATAACTTTAGGGTCACCCGTGGTAAGCAGGTTTCAGCAGAGCTTCCAGACTTAAGACAGACTAGGAAAAGATTTGTTCATCTTCTGACCATTAACTAAGGACATCCCTCTGGATCACCACAGAATACTTTCTAATATAATGCTGGGAAGGCACTCAGAAAGCACAGTGCTTATGATAATGGACTTGAACACACCTGTGATCCTTAGGGTGGCATAGGACCAGGGCCATTTAGTTCTGTTGTGTATAAAGGTGCCATGACTCAGAGCTGACTTGATGGCACCCAACAACAACAAGGTTGGATTAAATAGCCAAGGACAATGGTAAATCAAAAGTTGCTACTAGGGTCCCAATTCATGCATGTGTTTATTCCTACCAAAACATGTATAAACATGTCTCTGTGATGAATGAATGACTGCAGACAAGTTCTCTCAGTAATTCACTAGTCTTAGTCTGAATAGGAGTCCTGGTGTGGCGCTGTGGGTTCATGTGCTAGACTGCAA